TTATTATGTGTCCTTGCAGACCTTCGATGGAATATGCGGTTTGTCAACAACGCAAACATGATGTGTAGTTGGCGATGAACTTTACAATGATTTGAATAAAAGATAAGCGTAGCACCGAAAGAAGTACCAATTGTTGAAGGCGGCTAAGTGGACTAAGAATGCGAAGATGAATTAACTCATTGGCTATCCGCTAAAAAAATAGTAGAAAACGGTTGGTATTAGTTGAAAAACACAAGCCTTCCCGAAAAGATCCGTAAGCCTTTCCAAAAGCCTTCCCAAAAAGATCCGCAATTTTCTGTACATGAACTAAGAAAACTACCGCCATATCTTGATATCTCTTGACATCTTCGATAGCCTTGCAAAAAAAAAGGATCTTTCGTGCCCTATGAGTTTTAAAAGGATGCGAATGTAAACATTGCACGTACAATAGCGTTACTTGCGGTTCTCTCCCTACGTATTGTTTCTAATATATCGTCATTACGAGTTGAATAGTGAACAGCGCAACACTTTATTTATTGATATTATTTATCCTTAAAGTTGCGTTCATTTCATTTTCCAGAAAGTATTGCCGCATACTTGACTCTATCCTGGTCTTGAAGCGTTTCCCTGCGAGCATAATATGCTACTCACTCTGACTAATAACGGATAGAAGAAAGTCTGAGTTAGTATTTATCCGATCTCATGTAAATATACTACAAAAAAGAGAGAGAGCTACAAGAGCAGTGAGTGAAAGGCATGACTGCTGTACACGGATGGCGAAGATGCATCCTTAAGACGCATATGTTTTCTTTTCTTTTAAAGTATTTCAAAGTAATTTTATTGAATTTGACGGCAACGTATGTTTTTCTTTGCAAAGATGACATAAGCATGAGGTTGCCACTTCCTGCTTTTGTGTTTTTGTCTCAGTTTTTCAGAAATATGATTGAAGACATTTTCTCCTGAAAAGTTCATACTTCAAAGGTTACTTTACTTGAAGTGAAACACACCAGTAATTATTTGATCGTTTTTTAATCAGGAAACACTCTTATGTCGGCGGATAAGCACTGTAAACAATTCTTTTTTAAAACAAGAGAGCGTTGTTTGATTGTATCAGAGATTGGCTAAAGAGGAAGGAAATTCGTCAAAATTGATCGATTACGAAAAAAGCATTTTTTGTTACATCTCAAGTGCATTCATTTGTCAATAAAATAGAATGACCCGGCAGCGTATTTACTGGGAATATAAGGATTGCTGTGAAACGTGCCTTCTATGTAAAGAACTTTCTTTATCGGTGGACTGATTGGTTGATTTTAGTGAAAAACAAAAACAAACTGTCACGTGAATCTCTGCGGTTGACAACGACACATGTCTCTGCCAAAGCATAAGCAACATACACCACCATCAGCGTTATCGTTAAATGTTAAACGACTGATTGCAATAGAAATTCTATGGAAATTTAAATGCATTTCAAATAGAATAAAAATTTATTTAAAATCGCAAAAACTTCAAAAAAAAAAACAAAAAGAAAAAAAAAACAGAAGAGTTTCTATAAAAATATCAAAACAAAAGGGCTCGTCACGGGAGCAATGCAATAAAAGAAGTTGTGGTGAAAAGGATTTCAGCAACATTTTAATTGTTTATGAAACATTACTCTCTCTCTCTCTCTCTTGCGAACAACAACTGCAATCAATGGCAGTAAACCGATTTACAATCGCTTACGGATCGGTCTATATAAACACGCACCAATGACCACGTGAGCAAGTCGCTTCAATTCTTTACTATTATTTTTAAATCTAAAATCAACTATTGTTCCGAAAAACCGCTGTTGACATGTGGCCTTTATTATCAACAACAAAAAAAAAAAAAAAAACAGAAAAATGAATAAATAAAGTTGGTTTAATTATTTAAAAAAAGAAAGATGATTGCATTGTTTTTCTTATTTTATTTACAAAACAAATGAATATCCTGCAGAGTTTTTATCGTCATTTTCAAACTAAAATGCGGAGAATTATTTAAATTTTTTTTTTTTTTTTTTTAATCCAACTTTTTAAACAATACAAACACATAGAACGTTTCACGCAAATTTCTCAAATGAACGTAACATCAATGGCTACATAAACTAATAAAATGTTATTACATAAATTACTTCCTATCAAAAAAAAAAAAAAGAGGAGAATATATTAACAAATATCTGTCATTGGTGTCAAAAGCCGGGCATTGAAGGATGGACAGTAAGCAAAAAGCTAAAATAATAAATTAAGAAAATTATATTCGATCGGCGGAATCTTTTATGCCCATCACCGTCATCGTAAAAAAGACAAAAAAGTAAAAGAACTAAATTTTCATATTCTATAATAGGCAGTGGGCGCGGTTAATTCTCCAAAATAAAAGTTGTAGTCACATAGACGTGTAAGCGTGCCCTTTGAAAAATTTAGGACTCTTCCAGATTTATATTTCTAGAAAGTTGGATAGACGAACAGACGCTTAGGTGCATTCTGAAGCTTTTGAAACTTCGTAGCATTGAAAAAAAATCAAATTTTAACGCATTATGTTGACTTGATCAACTTCTACCTCTTCTGTACAAGCACTACCGCATAGCCCATAGAAGATTCATTCAATTTTTTGTAACTTTACCTGCTTTATAGCTTTTGAAAAACAAAGTTGTTTACGTAGCGTGTGCTTCGGTCGTTTTGGAAAATTTGCTTAGAAAAATTTCCAATGCTTTCTGTCAAAATTGAAGTTGACAGCTTAATTTGTACGGTCCGTAACATTTTTTAAACGCTCATTGCACAGACGGACAGACCGACATGCTTTAATCGATTTATAATTTGAGGCTGATCAAGAATATATATACTTTGTGGGATCTTCGAAGCTTCCTTCTGGATTTTGCGGATGTTTCGACAAAATGAATGAACCCGTCTTCCTTCGGTAATGGGTATAAGAAGATGGGTACCATATAAATGAAATTGTAGAACCATGCAGAAGTTGCAGAGTATGCTTCTCTCATAAAAAGCTTATCATATATGTATACATATTATATTAACGGAAAAATTGGAGAAATTTCAGGAAAAACACAGTGAAAATTTTGGTAAAGAGAAAGACGAAAACATTCTGGAAGCACAGGGAAAATAGTTTTGAAGGTCGAAGAGGTCGAAATGCACCGGCATGTAAATTCTGTGCTCGTTCTCGTTCTGGGAATTTCGAGGTCAAAAATACACTTCGTCCTGGTCGACCAGGTCGATTGAAGTGGATGAAATCTTATAAGAAAATTGAAGAAAGCTCAAGCATAAGTAATCGTAACCCTACTAAGGAACTAAACGTCAATCACAAAAGAGTTTTACAACGGAAAGAAGAGATCGTCAAATAGTCAGTCATCACTACGTATTTGAATAAAAATTCGTTTGATTAAAAGAAAAATTTAGCAAAAACAATAATAAAAAATTTCTCAGTACTTTTTCCTCAAGCAGTTATTAAAACATACAAGTAGATGTATATAATTATATATAATATAAAATACATACATACATTGAAAGATTGTATGTATATTGTATGAAAATATGTGTATATATATATTTTATACATTTTTGTATATGTATTACATACATATATATAATCTTTCAAAAGAGTTGTTTGAATAAAAAAAAAAAAACAAAAACAAAGAACAAATAAACTACTACTGGGAGCAAAAGGGGCTTTTTGAGAATTTAAGTGTTTTTATACACTTTGATATACTTAAACATACACATAAACGCATAGAAAACGCACAAACAAACAAACAAATATAACGTAGCAAATGAACAAACAAATACAAATACAAGTGATTTTATATATTTATTGTTAACACTAAGCACTAGCAACAAAATATTATATATAAAGGGGGGGGCGGGCGACCGGGCGGGCGGGCGGTCTTTATAGAAGGAAGTTTATTTGAAAAGAGTTTTTCAAGGAACTCGAAACAGAAAAACAAACAATAAAAACGCAAAAAATGAGCAAAAAGTCATTTTCAAAAATTCTCAAGTGAAAATAATAATAATAAGAAACAAAAGCATTATTTATGTATACACATGTTACGTCTGCAAGCAAGCAAAGTAAAATACATTCTTGTAAAAGATATTCTTCTTAAAGATTTATGTGTCAAAAAAAAAAAAAGGAAATAAGATTAAATTTAGTGAGAATAAGACTTTGTGCGGCCCTTCAAGATATCAGAGGTGGCCAACTTAAATTTCCATGTAATATTATTGCTCAAGCAGACAAATTGATCGACATACATACCAACATATTCGGAAAGCAGCAGCCCGGTAAGTCTCGAAACGAAGAAATGAAGGGAGAGGGGCTACAAAACTTTATGACCTACCAATCCTTCCGGTTTATTTAATCTTGAACTACTTCCATTAAGGCAATGCTATGCATTACCTTCGTCCCGTCACACACACAAAAGGATGCAAAAGTTGGCAATATTTCTTCATTGTCAAATGCAAAGTGCATCGAGCATATCGTGCCTTATACTTTGTTGTATTTCGTTCAACTTATTCGTGAAAACCTTACTCCTAGAACTCCTCCTGTTCATTGTCTTTAAGGAACCACACTTTATTCTATTAAAATTCTTTCTTATCTGAGACGAGGGTATGAAAGTTGTCAGCACCATTTCGAAGGCTAAAGACGAACGTCTTACTTTATTTTACTCATAACGCTACGATTTATTCATCGCTTTCGTTGAACTTTTCCTATCGCATTCCTTCCGCTTCTCTAATCAAATGTTTCTCTTCTCTTGCAATTTTTTCTGAATGCAAATTGTGAAAGGCCCTTAACACATTACCTACATCCTACCGAAAGTTTGTTTACCTGAAATTAATTAAGATTCTTCCCCGATGTGCATAATCCTTTAGTTATCCTTATTGACCCGCCCTTTATATTATACAAACCGCTATTGCTATTATTTCCTAGCACAGAAATGGACACAAAGACTGACAAATTTTTTCTATTTTCATCGCCGAAAGTAAATATCAAGCTTCTGTACTTACCGAATAGGTGTGAGGGAGGATGTTTTGCCCCTTAAACGTTATAAAATGATTGCAAAAATTCATCTGAAACGAGTTGAAAACAGAGTTGAAAAGATATTATCAGTAATTCAGTCGAGCAAAATAATGCATAAAAATTATTTAAATTCGTAATTTCGTAAAAATAAATATTCAAAGAAATGATTTGGTATATCACTTCGGCAACACGGCGCCTTGGCTTAGTTTTTGTATGACTGCTTAGTGTGTTAACCATAAAATTATGAAACATGTACAGCATGTTATTATATGATTGTCATATAGCTTGCGATTTATCTGCGATAATTTTAAGATATTCCACGAATTTTTGATACGTTTACTTAGGCATTAAATAGGCAATAAAAAATGTACTTCTCCCCTTCGCCCTTTATCGATATAAAAATGAAATTCCTAAAGTATAAAACGATAAAATGTAGTCGCAAACGAGTAAAGTCGCAAGTAGTATCGCAAGCATGTAAGAGTATTTTGAAAAGATGGGTCGGCAAAAGTGAAATCAAGTGACACAGGGTACGACGCTCAGTTAAGACGTAGCAGAGAGTGTATGCTGGATATAGCTGGCTGCAGGAAATGGAATATAAGCTATGTCCATAGACTAATTAGCCAACAGTTTATAAGCGTCTTGTTGTTGCCCGCACGAGATCATCTGTCATTAAGGGGAAGACGACTGCAAGCGGATGGAAAAAAAGGTAGCGGAAGAATAATGTTGATCCAACATATATTTAAATATTAAGAAAAAAAAGTATTTTTGAAAGATACCAAAAAAAGGCAACACCGGAGCCATTCTCTCTAAGCATCTTTAATTTAAGGGGCTTTGTGACACGCTTCGCAAGTAGTTCACATTAAAATCTTATATAGAAAAAAAAAAAAAAACGCTAAATCTATCTACATGTATCCAGGGAAATACGGGTGAGATTTAAAATTAAATTGTGTTTCAGGGTTCGGCGAGGATTTCAATTTCCGACCAAAAAAGGCCTTAAAGCCACTTAAAATTTGCCACGCCCACATTTAATAATTGATGTATTTATGACTTGCTTGTAACGAAAAAAGAATTATCTCTCATGTTATAGCTTTTGGCAGTCATGGACTGGCTTTTGTCAAATCGTCTGTTATTTCATCCTAAGTTTACAATCCTCTCTTAATGAATAAAATTTGAATTTGTTGGTTCGTTGAATGTTCGGGTTTGTGCGAGCTTAGCGATACTAGAATAACTTTCCACACACCCGTGCATCGATACACACATACCTGTGCTCCAAGGAGTGTTCTCACTATGTCTAACATTTTTGGATGGGCGTTTGTCCGTTTTCCTCTCTGTCCGTTTATTACGTTCGATGTAGATATAAACCCTTTTCACCAAACCTTATAAAAACAGGCGATATATGCGATGCAAGATATCGTCGATGTACCGAGTAACCCATACATACCAGTCTTAGCTATAATCAAACATTGTATCTAAGATAATATGAAGAGATTCAATCCGATTCAATTTTCTTTTACTTAAGCGAGTTTTGTGTTCATTTTTTGCACAATGCTAGAAAAATTACTGTGAAAATGTGTTATCTAAAAGACGATATTTGATTAACATCCGCGTTACAATCAAATATTGTACTAAACTAATAATGTGTGGTAAGTAATGGTAAAAAATGCGTCGAAAACCAGATAAAATTTTCCTTTTCATTAGGGAAAAGAGCGACTAATGTTCAATCAAATTCCACTAAATAGAATTTCTATTCTAAGTTTATTCTCTTATTTCTTTACTTATTCACAGAATCTACTCTAAATGGTGTCCCGATATTATTATTATTTGTATTGAATTTAGAAATCTCAAGCTAGAAGACTATTATTGTACTATTAAACAATAAATGGATAAATTTTTAATTGTGCATTAATTTGATTAATCCTTAAAAGTACAATATAACAAACAACAACAAAAAAAAACATATGATATTTTTGTAAAAATTCACCAAACTACTGCTAAAGAATTGAAGGCGGATACAGCGACAATAATCGACAGAGCGAGCGAGAACGAGTAAACGAGCGACCGAACGATTTCCCTAATCTTCAGTTTTGAACAAAAGGCGAAAAAGAAAAATATCAATTACAAGAAATATTTGCGTTTTCATTAAATAACAAAATTAAAAAGGAAGTTATTGTCCTTCGTTCGTCGTCTCAATAACAATACTTGATGATAATAATAAGAACATTTGTGGAAAATTTAATTTAATTACACATATATTTATAAATGCATACATATATATATATATATATTATATGCCTATGCGTACGCCTGTAAAATTCGTATACAAATGAATTCAATTGAGCCTAACAAAGGCCTAACGCGTTCATTAATAATTTTGATTAATGAGATCTTGGGTGCGTTGTAAATTGCACTAAATCGACAATAGAATAAAAGAGAAAAAATACAAAAAAAAAAAGTAAACCGCAAAAGGAAACTTGCAATTATATAGCGTATAAGAGCAAAAGCGTGGTGCGCGCGCCGGCGCATTAAAAAATGTATATTTTCACATTACGCATAGGACCAGTGGAAAAGGAAATATGTGTTAAGGAAATTTTGAAATAAATTTTAAATTTACTTTTGTTATGCTTTCTTATTGTTGTTGTTTTTTTACAACATACGTAAGTAAGTAAGCTCTTAGTTTTAAAGAGTCCTCGATTTTCAAGTGAAATCTTAAATAACTAAAGAATTCTTTCTTCTGTTTTCTTGTTGCTGTTGTTGTTTTTTTGTTGTTTTTTTTTTTTACTACACTATAACCACTCGCGTGTTGGGTTTTAAATGTGAAGAGAATTATTTTATTTTATTTATTCACTTTTTTTTTTTCCTTGAAACTATATATGAATTGAGAAACAGAAGCCTTTCACGTATGAATGGGTAATCATATATACATATATGTACATAAAGTGATTCATACTTTAAATCATTTATTCATCTACTCTTGCAGCAACAGGAACAGATTATAAAAAAAAGGAGATATTAAAATGGTCATTAAACAAGGATCGTTTTATATATGGTAGGAATACATTTACAGATATACAGATGTATTTATATATGTACTACTATACTATACTATATTATATATATATATAAGTATACTTATTCCAGGAAATTTAACAAACAATTCTGTGTAAATAATACTGTTGAAAAATACGTTAAAATTGCGCAGCAATATACATACAATACATAATAAGCGAGTGAACTGCAAACATAAATGTATTAACGATTTCGGCCCACTTAGGTATAAAAACGATTCAATTGTATTGAAAATTCTTAATAAATCATTTAACAAATGTTACACACACACACACACACACACACATACATGCACGCAGGCACATACATTCTTACGCATATACAGACAACTAAAAAACGGGAACAAAAGGATTTGCTTTTAAGTCGGTTGCTTCTTTCGAAACTTTAACAGTACAAGGCGAAAACGATTCAGAGAGCGATAGAGTAGAGTAAAGAAAGCAAACGAGCGAGAGAACGAGATGGAGTGATCGAGAGGGAGAGGGAGAGAAAAGAAAAAAAAATTGTAATCAAAACTGAAAATGAAAACATTTTAAATCCGCATTTAATTGCATTTGTACGTGAGCCAAGCACCCCATGGCGCGCGTACAAGAGTATACTTATTCTCTTATACATATATACATATATATATATTTGAATATAATTGTAAGTAACATATATAATATACTTATGTATATAGGGATAAATACGTATATGTAAAAAAAACCACTAGAATTAAAGCGCATAAGTAAAGGTTCGCACTGTCGCATTGTATTTTAAAGTAGCATCCTAAGGACGCATGCCAAAAAGCCAGGGAAACTTTACGTTACTCTCGCCATTGTTATAATATGAAAAAAAAACAAACTATTACACAATAATTTGCCCAGTTTGAGCTAAGAGAACAATTGTGGGTTTTGTGTGCGAAGTGAGCTCATGAGAAGTTTAACTATATAACCCTCCCTCCCAGAGCCAGCATAAGCAGCAGCAGCCGATTACAAGTTGTATACATATTTAACAATTTCATTGGTTGAGCGATTGAATGCTTGCTTGGTTGGTTGGTTATGTGATGATGATAGGTTATGCATACAGTACATTGAATACACATACTCTTAAACACATATAGAACAGAGAAAGAAGCATCAAATTAAAATAAATAATAAAACAAAATAACGTATTATTCCAAAATATTCACATATTGAATTTAAACACGCATGCATACGCTTGCACAAATTTATACATATGTATATGTATAGGTACCTACATATACACGCACGCAGGCATGCATGCTTGCATACATTAAATCTGTAGCCATATCATCATTATAATCACCATTGTGATCATGAGATTGACAGAAACAATTGTAAAAGCTTTTTATTTTGAGCAACAACAATAACAACAACAGCCAACGAGTTTAGTGTGTTATAAAAAAATAAACAAAGAAAAAAAGTTTAAACACACTTACACTCTTACCTCTCTATTCAGGCATACTACTCATCTCAACCCTTGTTTTTTTCTTGCTTTTTACGTTTGTTATTCTATATAACGCACACCAGCACACATAGTGTTACACAAAAATGCCAGATATCTCTCAACTACATTTTGATTAAAAACTTATTTATTTATCATCGTCGTCAACATCATCATCATCATCATCATTATTGCATTCATCATTATTGTTATTATTATTGCTATTGTTGTTGTTGTTGTTGCTGTTGCTGCTGTTATTTTTGCGATACTATCGTTCTTCTGCATTCTCTTCTTATACTCTTACTATTGTTTTGCTACTATTATTGATGCTAAAGTAGTTCTATATAGTTCTTGTTATTGTTGTCGTTATTATTATTGTTGTTGCTGTTGCTGTTGCTTTTGCTGTT